TATTTCCAAATGGGGATTATGGGATTGGGTGCCACACAATGATAAAGACCTTGCTAAATATCGCAAGGACGTCTTTGGAGGATGTAACTTTTACCACCAATGTTACAAAAGCAGAGTAATTTGGCCGGTAAAAGACGGGGGGTATACTGGTAGTGCTCAAAGACGAGAAATTTGTTCCAAAGAACAATGTGAAGTTATAGGGTTAAACCTCATAACGTCTACTAATGTGGAAATTAATTTAGTTCTGAATCGTACCCACATGCTTACAATATGGGATTCATTGACCCAAGGGTGTATTTATCCCATAGTGTTGCCATGTGAAGGGTTTTTGAGGGATGCTTCCTCAAGAACAACAAGATTTAAGGGAAATTATGTACGAGTATGGCATTCAGAAGATGAGAATGAATATTGTGAGACTGAACTAGAAACTGGGGAAATCGGAAGGTGTTTTTATCTTTCTGCGGTAAAGTCAAACAAAGCTCAAACATGCCCAAATACAACTATTGCACCAGCTCATGGTATTTTGTTGGCAAAAGAAACCAAAACCTTGATAAATGAAGCCCATATGGTGCGACAACGAATTAATTATAACTTGAACTCTCTTCTTACAGTTTTTGATCAGTCTTATTGTGGTAATTTTACACAAATAAGAAGTTGGTTGGACAAAGAAGTTAAATATTATACCTCTAAAAATCCTCTGAGTAGTAAAAATCGTAAAACTCGAAGTATATGGGGAGACATAGCGGGGGTATTTGGTTCTGTCAATTCAATTAGTAATACTGCTCAAATGAATCAACTAAGCGAGTATACTCAGTGGGTGGGGACAATGTCTGGGAAAGGACTCACTGAGGCTCTTCAGGGTTCTCTACATATTATAGCAGCGGGTCAGCATCTTAATGATGCTGCAAAGGAATTAGCAGATGCATTAACAAAATCGTCTAATTTTGAGACACATCGTGCGGCGTGTTTATTTTTAGCTCAGAATTTAAAGGATCAAATGGTAGAAGATATTCAAGTTATTCGAATGGGACAAGTTCCTGAGCGAATAGCAGAATCTTTGTTAGTGGTTTTCGGTAATCAACTTAATTTGACTTCTGCTAAACATATTCCATTAGTTAAAATCGCTATTAATGAAAATTCGTTGTCAGGTTCTGGAATGTTACCTTTGATTGAAAGGAAAATAAATGAAGTGAAATATGAAAATATGATATACGGGGGAAAGTTGTGTCCAATTCCTCCTGATCCATTTTGCCTTGAGATTCTCTATCCTCTTCACTTGGGTGGAATTCATGTTCCACATGTGCAATTGTTGCAGATAGAGCCACAATGGTGGAATAATGATCTAGTAGAAGAACGGAATTATGAACTCTTTGAAATGGTTAGAAGAGTTAAAAAGAGTGTAAAAGCAGCTCAAGAGGAGGGAATTCAAGCAATGGGTCATGTTATTGTAGCAAATGGAGTAGCTAAATTAATGTCTGAGAGGAAACTACCACGAATCCTAGGGAATTTATCATGGTCAGATTGGATAGTTTTGACTATGGTAGGAGTTTTTGTGTTCATGCTAATAATCCAAGTCCTTATATGTGTTACTAGAAGGAAAAGTACCAAACCTGTCAAATTGATTATTTCTAACCAAATGGATAGAACTAAGAATGGGACATACAGCGTGAAATAAGAGATTTTACACATTCTACACTACCTCACAAACAATGAACATCCGTTTACTGATTTTCAACCCCAAGGGATAGGATCTTTTAACATCAACGTTTATTTTAATTTCTTGTTTTGGTTCGGAACTGGAGGATTTAATTAATTAACGAGTTAATTAATTAATGAGTTCAGGCACGGGCAGAAGACTTATTAGTTTTTCTTTTCTTAGATGATTGGGGTTTTGTTTTTTTGTTTTGTTTTGTTTTCTGTTTCTATTCTTCTGTTCTTTCTGTCTATTTTCTTGGTCGGCTTTTCCTTTTCCTCACTATCACTTCATTAGGTGGCCACTGGTGGAGTGACGGTGTGGAACTGACTGTCGTAGTTCCAGTGGAGGGACTGAAGACTGAAAAAAATATTGTTTAATGTTATTTTATTTTTATTTTATTATTTTTCTTTATTCATTTTAATAATAATTTCATAATGTTTTTTATGAAGTCAGACAGTACATGTGTGCTGAGTAGAGAGCTGCTTGAGTTATATTTTGCTTAGGGGTACTATGTCTGCAATGCAATGTCACGGGGACAGTTGGCATGTTCTTTGCAGGGAAAGGAATGTTTCCACTGATGCAAATGTACCACTAATGTAAACAACAAGGATAGTTCTTAATATGGAAGTGGATTGTGCCATGTTTAAGCATGACGTGTACATATGACATACGTTCTAATTTTAAGAAGCTCAAAGCAACATGTTTTGTTACCTTACAAGGAAGCTGTAAGACTCTTTGTGATGTATAAAAGCTCAATCTTACTGTACCACCACAGAGAAACATAAAGGCATGAGGTGGTGAGAGGAAGGAGGAAACTTAGAGATGATGGGGTGAGAAGATAGACAAATGGGGAACAGAGAAATCTAGAATGAAGACCTCCTCTCATGTAGCCTTATTGTTATATGCCTGTTTCTCTCTGTCTGACATGACACACATTTAAATAATAAATCTATTGGCAAAAGTAACTGGTGTAGCTTCCGTGATTCAACAATAACGGGGGAAGCATGATTTTCAAGTCTACAACGACCACAACACATGATGTAGTCAGCCGGATCCGGGCCATATCCAGAACAGATGGTGGACTTGCGCGAAGACACGACCACAACGCATGATGTAGTCAGCCAGATCCAGGCCGTATCCAGATCAGATGGTGGACCTGCGCCTAGACACGACCACAACACATGATGTAGTCAGCCAGATCCGGGCCGTATCCAGATCAGATGGAGGACCTGCGCCTAGACACGACCACAACGCATGATGTAGTCAGCCAGATCCAGGCCGTATCCAGATCAGATGGTGGACCAGCGCCTAGACACGACCACAACGCATGATGCAGTCAGCCGGATCCGGGCCGTATCCAGATCAGATGGTGGACCTGCGCCTAGACACGACCACAACACATGATGTAGTCAGCCGGATCCGGGCCGTATCCAGATCAGATGGAGGACCTGCGCCTATACACGACCACAACGCATGATGTAGTCAGCCAGATCCAGGCCATATCCAGATCAGATGGTGGACCTGCGCCTAGACACGACCACAACGCATGATGTAGTCAGCCAGATCCGGGCCGTATCCAGATCAGATGGTGGACCTGCGCCTAGACACGACCACAACGCATGATGTAGTCAGCCAGATCCAGGCCATATCCAGATCAGATGGTGGACCTGCGCCTAGACACGACCACAACGCATGATGTAGTCAGCCAGATCCGGGCCGTATCCAGATCAGATGGTGGACCTGCGCCTATACACGACCACAACACATGATGCAGTCAGCCGGATCCGGGCCGTATCCAGAACAGATCGTGGACCTGCGCCTAGACACGACCACAACGCATCCCTGAAGTGACAGCAGAGATTGTGTCAACTAGATATCCCCTGTAAGGCCTCATCGACACGACAGCCATCGGCACTGATCCTCAACAAACCTGTCTCCATACTGGCGTGACTCCGATATTCAACCAGATGGAACTGGAAAAATATTCTGAATGTTCCAATCCAATCTGACTTCTGAGCTGTAATGCTGCCTGAATCATAATCATACACTGTTCGTCCGCTGGCCAGAGGAGAACTGAGCGTCTGAGCCTGGTTTCTGACAACGTTTTTTTTCTCCATTCTGTCACTGATGGAGTTTTGGTTCCTTGCCACTGTCTTGCTTATTTGGGGACGCTGAAAGAAACTTTGTTGCATTAATTTCCTGTTATCAATGTAAGATGCTTTGATACAAGCTGTTTTGTAAAAAATGCTATATACACTGAACAAAATTATAAATGCAACACTTTTTTTTTCGCCTGGTTTTGCCCATGCATTTTATTGATGGCATTTTGAATGCACAGAGATACCGTGACGAGATCATGAGGCCCATTGTTGTGCCATTCATCCACGACCATCACTTCATGTTGCAGCATGATAATCCACGGCCCCGTGTTGGAGGATCTGTACACAATTCCTGGAAGCTGAAAACATCCCAGTTCTTGCATGGCCAGCATACTCATACATGTCACCCATTGAGCATGTTTGGGATGCTCTGGATCGGCGTATACGACAGCGTGTTCCAGGTCCTGCCAATATCCAGCAACTTCACACAGCCATTAAAGAGGAGTAGACCAACATTACACAGGCCCCAATCAACAACCTGATCAACTCTATGCGAAGGAGATGTGTTGCACTGCGTGAGGCAAATGCCGGTCACACCAGATACTGACTGGTTTTCGGGTATGGTGTGATGGTTTTCCTGGTTTTATTTTTGTGTTGTTTCAAAGTCTCCTGTGAAGATTGTAAATACACCGTTCTTTTCCACTTTAACCTCAGTTTTTGTTTCATTCTTTTACACCCAATTCCTCACACAGTAAAATCTGACCCCATTTTAACTTTTGTAACTCAACTTAATTGGCTGATCGTTACAACTTGACTGTATATCATGGGCTATTTGGCATTATTTCACACTGTATCCAGTATTAGTTTGTAAGATGTATGTCTTGTTTTGACTATGTTTCCCATGGTTCTTTGCATTTGTCAGGTGTGGGGGAGGTGAAAGGAGCAAGGACTCAGGTGCAGAGTTGATGGGCTTTATTTTAATAATAAATATAAAACAAAATACAAACAAATCTACCCCAAGGGGGAAACCAAGACATACTTGACTTGACTTGACTTGACTTGACTTTACAGCAGGGAAACAGACCGTGTATTTACGACGTACATATGACAACGAACCAGCACAGGACTGAACACACAAGGGGAATAAATAGGTTAAGATTTTAAGAATACCTGTTTGACCTGTTTCAACACACCAACTTGATCAGAAGCTCCTCCCTCTTACAACACTAACCAGGAAGAGACGGACTTGTTATTTCTCTTTTCTGCCATACTGACTGTGTCTCGACAAAAGCAATAAAGAATCAGCGATCAGTGGAGTACGAAGGGAAAAACTTTACAGAACAATTTGAGAAGTTTTTTCCTGAACAAGTTTTTTTTCTGATCTTTGTGATTCTCATGGTGATTCATTCTTAAAACCGTCGTTCAGAAAGTGAAAGTAAAATTTAGATTGCTGGAGCTCAAACAGTGAGAATGGCTTCAGCAGCTGAAGATGATTATATTTGTCCTGTGTGCTGTGAAATCTACAAGACTCCTGTTATTTTATCCTGTAGTCACAGTTTCTGTAAAGAGTGTCTTCAACAGTTCTGGAGAACCAAGACATCTCAGGAGTGTCCTGTCTGCAGGAGATCCTCAACATCTGAACCTCCAGTTAATCTTGCGTTAAGAAACTTGTGTGAGTCGTTCCTGAAGGAGAGAAATGAGAGGCGTTCATCAGGGTCTGAGGAGATCTGCAGTTTACACAGTGAGAAACTCAAGCTCTTCTGTCTGGAAGACAAACAGCCAGTGTGTTTAGTGTGCAGAGATTCAAAACAACATGACAATCATAAATTCAGACCCATCAGTGAAGTGGTTTCATCACATAAGGTAAGACAAATGTTTCTTGATTCACATGTAAAGAATCATAACGAGTCATAAACACAGATCGTTCTGGTTACTAACGTAACCTCGGTCCTGATGAGCAAAGATCTGTGTGCGCATAGTTGAGCTAAAAGCAGCCAATCATTGATGTAATTCAGGAGGCGGTCTCAGGGGGAAGAGGGCCACATCCACACATTTCATAAAAGTGTGCGGAGCAAAAGACAGTCCGAATGGCAGGACTGTATTATTTTGTTAAGCCACCCCTTCAAACGTGAATCTCAAGAACTGTGATGTGGGGCTGTCTGGATATGAAAGTATGCGTCCTCCAGATCCACTGATATAAACCAATCAGATCTGTGAGAGGATTTGTTTCAAAGTTAGCGTCTTATCAGAGCGCGGTTCAGACATCTCTAATGGAGGATGAGCCTGAGGCCATGCTTCTTAGGAACGAGGAAGAAGCGGCTGTAGGACGCGTGATGAGTAGGGAGCGCGCCGTGACTTATTCAGTTCTTCATGGGCTTCTGGGAGAGACATAGTGTCATCAAAGTCCTCCTCGGAGCTGCCAAATGAACCCATGCCACTCGCTCCAGATGAGGGAAGCAGGGGAGCCCTGCAGGAGCAACACTCGTGGCACGGCATTTTGCAACAAATGCACTCAAATTTGCTCTTTTAATAAAGAAATTTTCTCTTGTAGAGTTGCCGGATAGCTGTTAATCCGTTACTTGAGGCTTGTTTCAATGGCGAGCAGAAAGGCTCCTATCTTCTTCTCTTTGGAGACAGTGAGGAGATGATCTTTGCGTTTGAAGGAGAACAATTCTGATGAAAATAGTTTTCAGCGCAACTTAAATATGCAGTTGGCCCGTCCATTTTGCTGGGCTGAAAAGCCATTTGTCTGTACAGGTGAACAAACCAATCAGGCTTTAGTATTCAGTGTTGATTTGATTGAACAGGGCTGCAGTGATCAGGACTGGATGTGTTTAGTCCAGCTGAACTACATTATAAATGCAGTTTCATAGATTTGAGGAATTAATAACTACAGGGGCAAATACATTTTCACGCCGGCCCAGGTGGTTTTGGATAACTTTTTTGTTTCAATAAATAGCATTGTTATTTACAAACTCTACTTTGTGTTTACCCAAGTTTTAATTTCTGAATCAATTTAGTATGAGATGTACACAAAAATAGAAGAAATCAAGGATGGGGGCAAATACTTTTTCACTGCATTATATGATCATATCACTGTATTGTCTTCTCTTCACTGTAATCTGGTGTTTTATGTATTTTTGTTCAATTCTAGGAGGAGCTCAATACAGCACTGAAGCCCTTACAGGAGAAACTTAAACGCAATAAAGAAATGAAAGCAGAGTTTGAGAAAACAGTTCAACACATGAAGGTGAGGAAACAGAAACGAGAGTCATTTTCATTACAGCTGTTGGACACTATATACAGTTATGATCTGATATAATGGATTCCAGTTTATTATTTCTGTAAATGACTAGCAGCGATCTGCTTCTGGATCCGTTATATGTCAGGTATCCGAGTTTATCCTGGATATTAATGATGTAAAGTGTCGATTGAGATGATTGAAGTGAATGTGATGTGATTTCAGGCTCAAGCTGAGCAAACAGAGCGTCAGATTAAACAGCAGTTTGAGAAGCTTCATCAGTTTCTCAGAGATGAAGAAGAAGCTACAGTCACTACACTGAGGGAGGAAGAGGAGCAGAAGAAGCAGATGATGAAGGAGAAGCTGGAGGAGATGAACACACACATCTCAGCTCTTTCACACACACTCAAAGACATGGAGGAGATGATGAAAGCCAGTGACGTCTGCTTTCTGAAGGTCTGATCTCAGATCATTGGTTGATCATTGGTTGATTGATTGAGTTCTTGATGATAATGGTGTGTTTGTTCTGCAGGAGTTTCCAGTCTCAATGGAAAGGTGAGTGATCTGCTCCTGTCTCTGGTCTCTCTGGTTCTGATCCAAAGCCACTGCAGTTCTGACTCCTGAATGTTCTTCCAGAGTCCAGAGCTCACGGCCGGATCCACAGATGGCTTCTGGAGCTTTGATTCATGTGCCACGATACTTGGGCAACCTGCCGTTCAGAGTCTGGAAGAAGATGCAGGACATCGTCCAAAACAGTGAGTCTGAAGATCTGAGCTGGACATGATGGATGGGGGAGAGTTAAAGAGATAGAGATAGATAGATAGATAGATAGATAGATAGATAGATAGATAGATAGATAGATAGATAGATAGATAGATAGATAGATAGATAGATGGATGGATGGATGGATGGATGGATGGATGGATGGATGGATGGATGGATGGATGGATAGATAGATAGATAGATACTGTAGATGGATAGATATATAGATAGATAGATAGATAGATAGATAGATAGATAGATAGATAGATAGATAGATACATAGATAGATAGATAGATAGATAGATAGATAGATAGATAGATAGATAGATAGATAGATAGATAGATAGATAGATGGATGGATGGATGGATGGATGGATAGATAGATAGATAGATACTGTAGATGGATAGATAGATAGATAGATAGATAGATAGATAGATAGATAGATAGATAGATAGATAGATAGATAGATAGATAGATAGATAGATAGATAGATAGATAGATAGATAGATGGATGGATGGATATATGGATGGATGGATGGATGGATAGATGAATGGATGGATGGATGGATAGATGGACATGATAGATAGATAGATAGATAGATAGATAGATAGATAGATAGATAGATAGATAGATAGATAGATAGATAGATAGATAGATAGATAGATAGATAGATAGATAGATAGATAGATAGATAGATAGATAGATATATGGATATATGGATGGATGGATAGATGGATAGATGGACATGATAGATAGATAGATAGATAGATAGATAGATAGATAGATAGATAGATAGATAGATAGATAGATAGATAGATAGATAGATAGATAGATAGATAGATAGATACTGTAGATAGATAGATAGATAGATAGATAGATAGATAGATAGATAGATAGATAGATAGATAGATAGATAGATAGATAGATAGATAGATAGATAGATAGATAGATGGATGGATGGATGGATGGATGGATGGATGGATAGATGAATGGATGGATGGATGGATGGATAGATAGATAGATAGATAGATAGATAGATAGATAGATAGATAGATAGATAGATAGATAGATAGATAGATAGATAGATAGACAGATGGATGGATAGATAGATAGACAGATAGATAAAAAGATAGATAGATGGATGGATGGATGGACGAATGGATGGATGGAACCATAGACATAATAAATACATAGACGCCCTATTGGCCGCTTTGGAGCGTTGCTGCGATACGTCAACGGGTCCGCCATTTTGCGGAGGGCGAGACTGCACTGCAATCAAATGTAAGTAAACGGGTGAGCTGCGTTTTTTCTGGATAAAAACAAACTGTTTTTACATTTATCAACCGATTTCAGTGGTTTGTTAGCCTGGATGCCAGCCCGAACCCCGCCCACAACATTTTTTGGTCGGGAAGTTCGGTCTGGACTCGATCCATTGAGGAGTAATTATGATCAGTTCAGAAATCGTCGGGCCAATCAAATTGCCAGGGCGGGCTTTATACGATGATGGACAGATGATCTGCAGTTACGTAATCCTCACGTCATCAAAGAGCGCTTGGGTGGAACTGGTTTCCCTCAGAGATGACTGCCGCTGGAGAACTGAGATGTAGAGATTCCTCTATCGCGTCCGTTGTAAAAGAAATCGACAGCGCATTCATTTTAAAAGACGAACATAGAACTGCAATCAAGGCATTTGTCGATCGGAAAGATGTGTTTGCCGTCCTTCCTACGGGATTCGGCAAAAGTTTAATTTATCAGCTGCTCCGATGGTCGCTATTAGATGGGACGCAATGAAAGCCCTGTGGTCGTTGTGGTTTCTCCTTTGGTCGCACTCATGGAAGACCAAGTAAAAGAAGCAACCGAAATGGGCATCAGGGCGATGCAACTCATGTCAAAGCCATCGCTGCATCAAACAATGGTGACGCTTTGTTATACTGTACTCGCACACCATACCCATACTGGTAATCACTGTACCCCTTATGAGCGGTTTATTTTTTAAATATAAATAATTAGATGATGTTACTCAATTTAGTTTATTTGCCAGACTCATGTCCAAAACACCACGCAAGACAGAACAAATAAACAAGACAAAGTACAAGAATTACTCATCATTTTGTATTTAAATCATCATTAAAACATCATTTTGGCTCGCGGTCTCTTTTCTCTGAAGACTCAAATGAACACGCTTCTTCAGCCTGGTGTCTTTCGTGTCTCTCCATTTATTAAAATCAGTCAAGTCGCGCTCCAACCCTGTTATAAAATTGAGACCGGTCAGACAAATGCGAGTAGATTTGTTGGCTTTACTGTCGAGATCTAATCCTAAACGGAGAACTTGTTCAAAGGTCGTTAACACTCATTTTTCTTTTAAATACTTTTTCGGGAGTGCGTGCAGTGCAGTTCAGTTCTGTTGATATGAGTCGCTCAACGACACTTACTGCGTTGCTCTGATTGGTTGTAGGTCTATCCAATTGAGTGTAGAGTTTTTTTTTTTCCTGGTTCGGTTAAGACACGCCTCATAATCAAAGCCCTATGGAGCAGTATCAGACTCACAGTCTGACTTGAATATGAGTATGACGAAGTCAGGCTAGTGGTTTGTATGTGGTGTACAAAAAGTTCCATCTCTAGTTATTTAAAATCTCGATAGTTAGACTTGTAAAATATTTTTTTTTAAATAAAAAATGGTCAAAGCTCAGGCTTGTCATGTATTTGGCTTTTTATTCTTGGATAAGAATGGCAAAGACCCCCATACTGAGATATAAGTTTTCTTATTGTGGAAAAAGCATTTTTTGTGATTGACCAGATTTTAGCAATAACAAAGATAACTGATGGATCCTTTATAATAATACATATGTTACGGTACAACTATAGTGCAATGCAAATAGTAAATATAACATAAAGTGAGAAGTAATAGTAAATAGTTTAGTCAATAAAATAAACAAATAGTATACAGCAAATAAAATAGTAATGAAAAAGTATCATTATATAATATCATAAGTACAATAATACAATCATAAAAATATTGATAATAGCATATAGTTTATTAATAATACTATAATAATAGCAATATAATAAGAAATATCAATTACAGAATATATACAATAAAAAATAAGTTAAATAGTGACATTTTAATATTTAATTATTTTTGTTAAATTTCAGTTTTATTGATCAGTAATAGCCATTATAACAGAAGTAGCTTCAGTCAAACATACAGCAGGATACAACGTTAAAATAGCCTAAATATAAAGTTATGAAACTTCACTTTGCCCTCAGCCAAAACGATTTACTAGGGAACCATTTATAGATTAATGAGACCAAAGATCGCCCGTTAGATATACACAAGACGAATTATATCTCATGTTTAACCACTAGACTACAGACATCCGAGTCAGCGGCAAAACTTCAGAAGCACTGGCCGAGGGACGGCTGTTCCAGGCGGGGTAGACGAGCACTGAGCGCATCTTACAACTCCGAAAACGTCAGATCAAATTGTTAAATAGACGCTATCTTTATAAACAAACCACAGATTTGAGCTTTAAACAACTACATTGTCGACTGAAAAACTATTAAAACTACATTTCGTGACACAATAACAGTAGTATTTTTAAATGTAACATCTGAACGTTACTATTACTAATTAAATCATGACCAAATACAACCAAAAACTAACGTTCAGTCTTGCTTGTGAAAGGTAATTCCTCGAAAGCTGTTTTCAATTGTGTGGCGATGTGTACAGCCCCAAGCAGCGCACAAAACAGGCATTTTTCTCAATTCCCGGTATGAGAGGTATGGGAAAGTTGCCATCCCCAACATGGCGGCGCCGTTGACGTACGCTCCAGCAGCCAATAGGGCGTCTATGTATTTATTATGTCTATGGATAGAACAGTTTGGTGTTTGTTAGATAGAATTAATAACATGATGCTAACACAATCACCATGTTGGTTGGATGTTTTAGCAAGATGCTAACATGATGCTAGTAATATTAACATGTTGTTAGCATTGTGTTAGCATGATTAATATGCTTCTGCGTTTTAGTTAGCATTTTTGACGTTTCAACACTTAACTAATCGCTATTTAATCACTAATCACTAATAACTAAACTCTGTTTAGTTGCTAGGGAGAGGCTTGGCAGCTGCCAGTGATGTTACTTCAAAGGCTGCTTGCCAGTATGAATGATATAAACCAACCGCAACTCCTCTATGACATTCAGATTACAATATCCCTCTTATTATTTGGGTTGCTAGGGTGCTCGACAAAGGTTGCTAGGGCGTGGCTAGGAAGTGTTGAAGGTGATTCATGGTTGTAAGTCAAACACAACAGACTCAGAATAAACTAATTTAAAACAAAACACAGACTATAAGAGGCAATAAAATGAAGATGATCAGAAGCTGCTGAAGATCAGACACACACTTACAGTTCTTCATCGACAGCATTAATATCAACAGATCTCATTGATTTATTGTTATTTAACTTTCCCAAAGTATCAGTTTCTCTTGATGGACACAAATGTCTGAATCTCATATTTAATGTTTGTAGTTGATGCCGTTAAACGCTGATGATAAACGAGTGTGAAACTAATAACAGCACTGACAGTGATCAGAGGAAAATGAGTTTGATCAACAGGACGAGTGTCATAATTCATAATAATCTGTGTTGGGTTCACTGTTGATCATTATATGAAGATCAGAATAAAAGCATGTGTTGATTGTGTCTCATCAGCTCCTGTGATTCTGGATCCAAACACTGCAGATCCACGTCTCGTCCTGTCTGATGATCTGACCAGTGTGAGTCTCTGCGGGAACAATCAAACTCTTCCTGATAATCCAGAGAGATTTGACTGTAATGTGTGTGTTCTGGGTTCAGAGGGTTTTAACTCAGGAACACACTGCTGGGATGTGGAGGTTATAGGGAGTAAACTCTGGGCTCTTGGAGTAACTACAGCATCAAACCAGAGGAAGGGACTCGGTTTCTTCAGCACTGATGTTTGGAGTGTGCAGTATCATCAGGACGGACTGTCTTTTAGTTCTGGTTTTCGTGTTAAACAGAAGCTTGATCGTGTGAGAGTGAATCTGGACTATAATGGAGGAACGGTGTCGTTCTCTGATCCTGTAACTAACACACATCTACACACACTCACAGCCACCTTCACTCACACACTCTTTCCATTCTTCTATTGTTCTTCTAGCTCTCTGAGGATCTTACCGGTCAATAGTCAGTAAACGTCACTCCTGTAGATCTGGATCTTCTGCTTTCATCATGTTTCCAATATTTCCTCCATCTCACATGAGTAAGAGTGCTGTTGATCTGAGTATCAGTACGGTGGCTGTGATTGGGCCGTGATGATCACATGACTGATATCCAGCACTACAGCAACACTCAGATCAATAAACATCAAGTTTTCATTTATATTCCACTTCACACAATTAGACCCATTAGAGGCCGTTTTAGCATTCATGTTTTCAGGATAACTGACATTTACCAGATTATTACAGTCAATGTGTGTTTATTCATTTCTTAACTTCTTGCATCATAATTATATATGATATTATATTATATTTTGTTCTTGTATTAAATCAAATAACTGAAGCTGTAAATTCTGCACATTTTCAGTGTTTGTTCAACATGAGACTAAATGAATAATTATTTCAGTTATAGAGGTGAAGTGATCATTTGTTCATTGGAATAAATGGATGTAAAAGGCTCTTGCTGATGATCCCTTGAACTGTGTGTTTTAAATAAATAAATAATATGTGATTTAATGTTCAGAGTGAAAGATTAAATGTTTGGGATGATAATTAGGGTTTAATCATGGAAACAATACTTTACAGACGTAACATGTTGTTTATTTTGCCTTTCTTTTTGGCAGTATTCTCTATTAGGCTATTTTTCTGTTAAACTTTTTATAGATTATAAAAAAACAGACAAAATTACAAAAATAAGGAAGAATGATGTTTGAGGGGTAACGTATTATTCTTACCAATAGTAATAAAATAATTGAATATACATTATATTTTTAACGGTGCTTTAACGGGATCAACAAACACAGCTTCTGTCATGTGACTCCATATCTATTTGCTTTATAACCCTTTTTCTCGACAAAAAGTGTTTCTAAAATAGCTTTCCGCAACATTTGAAGTTAAATGGAAAAAGATTTGATGACCGATAATCAAAAAATTATCGATAATTTTCATTTCCATGTCGGTAAACATTTTGATGCACTAAACCTTTTTTTGCAAACAATCCTTACTGGAAACCTAAATCAAATATTCAATGTAAATCCACTTTGACAATTTAGTTGATTCACCAGCTAATAAGCACAAGAATTATTCCATCTATGTATTTTTGTCTAACATATTGTCTTAAATGAGCTTTATGGCAGTTTGTTCTGTGAAGTATTTCTGCATTCCAGTATTATAATTTCTAAAGATATTACATGATTTGTTTATTACAGTGTAATTAAGGATGATGTTAAATGTTAAAACGGCTTGCCACAGAGTTCCTGACCAACGGACAACTGCAGATTATAAACGATTAGCTAGATAGAGCTAGGGTAGGTAGATATCAATTCATTTCTATATATCAATGGACGGGTCTATAGTTTATTTTTCGAGAGACAAAAAGTTATTGACGGTCAGGTTGATGTTCTGTCCGGCTCAAACTTAGCTGACCACATGTAGGTTTAGCTGCCCTCGTCTTCTCTACTCTCTTTCAACATTCATTTTCTTTTTAATGTTCTGTTGTTGCCTGTCTTTAGCTTGGGTGAGATGGCCTCTTCTGGTGAGACCCTGTTTACTCCTCGCATTACAACACACTCCACATGTTTCTGGAGCAACGTTACAGTAGATATTGGAAATATGTGAACTTGTTTTTTTTTACAGTCTATGGTGTGAACACACAAAATACACATTTATAATAGGCATATATGTGTAAATCTCTCTCTCTCTAAGTGAAGAGTTGTACACTCACTCAAATATTTTGATTATTTCCAACGTCGTACATGATAAAACCCACATTAAAAACTTTTCCCATATGGTCTGAATGTAGACTCTGGTTTGAGTTGTTTCTTATAAATGATATGATCTAATTATCTCATTTATTTCTTAATATAATTTTTCTTAAAATAGCTTATTGATCTGGACTATAATGTAGTGTATGTGCACTTAATGTGTGTTTTATCACACTCTGTCTTTACCAAGTTCTCTTTAACTTGCATCTCATAAAGGTGTGTGTTTGCTTTAGCTACTTAAGGAAATGAAAATCTCTCTCTCTAAACTTGTATAAACTATAAACATGAAAAACATGAAAGATGCGGATTAAAGGGTTTGTGGCTGACCAGAGAAACGGTCAGAGAGGTACAGTTAAGTCTGGATCATCAGGTGTGGAGGAAAGAAGAGGGAGAAGGTTGCGGAGACGACATCACGGAGTGCCAGGCCCTAACTATCTATGGCATATGAATTCTTACGACTAACTGAAGCCGTATGGCATAGCAGTTAACGGGTGCGTTGATGGTTTCTCGAGGCACATCATCTGGATGCAACCCTACTTCACCAATAATAATCCCAGAGTAATTGCTGGTTATTATTTCCGCGCTGTTGCTGAAAGAGTCGGTTGTCCTCAAATAATCAGATCCGATTTTGGTACCGAAAATGTCCACGTCAACAGGCTACAAGAGTTTCTTCGTGAAGACTCGACATGAACTGTGCATGGACCGTGTGTTTTTCAAGGAACAAGCCCAGCAAACCAGAGAATAGAAAGTTGGTGGGGTCTACAGACGACAAAACGCAGATTACTGGATGGATATGTTCAAAGAACTGCAGTCATCTGGTGATTCACAGGCGATTTTATGTTGCCAAATGAACACGTAGATAAACCACTGAAGAAGACCAGGACCACAAGGGACGTTTTCGCATTTTAATTTCTTCTCCAGATGGTGAAAACTGAAAGCATACACAACATGCTCTTAGAAAAACTGAGCTCTAAACAGACGAGAATAAAGTCATTCATCGGCGCTTTAAAATGCATTTCCCAACTAGACAATACAAAAATACATTACTTAAGATCCTTATAAACACATACAAAAACTTACGGCATTGCCTTGACAGTGCTTTAAAGGGAATGGCAACAGATCGCTGACCATACGATGCTGGATTTCGCCTGCTCTGTTTACCATGAAACCGAAACCGGAAGTTAGCGCGACCGCACAGGAAATAAAATTGTCCGCTAATATTTTTTAAATAAAACTTACAAATAAACATGAAATACTTATAAGAAACTCTTAGAAATGCTTTTTAAACATTTAACTTATTTATTAAATTATTAACTGCCTTAAGAACAACACATTCCCCGCCTGACCTCAGTGAGGTCACTATCAACAACAAAAACTTAGCGGGATTCAGTCCTTTGGCAAAAGAAGAATGACTTCAGTAACTGGTCGCAAAAAGGTCTTTCGAGTGCCTTGGTCATTTACTATGACCTCGACTTTCCTTACTCGATTGTCCTTCCCAGGGAAAGTTGCTGTGACTCTACTCATGAGCCAGCTGTTCCGTGGAACCTGCTTGTCCTTGAGCAAAACAAGGTCACCAACTTGCAGATTTCGACAAGATACAGTCCATTTCTGCCTCTGCTGCAATAAAGGCAGGTACTCTCGCCTCCAGCGTGTCCAGAACTGGTTGGCAAGAGCCTGAACTTGTCTCCATTGCTTGGTGTAAAGGTCCTTGTCCAAGAAATCTCCAGGAGGAGGTATAAGGCACGATTCCTGGGTTAGCAGCATAGAGGGAGAGAGAATGAAGGGATTGTCTGGATCGGACGAAACTGGAAGGAGTGGCCTGGCGTTTATGATTGCAGACACTTCAGCCATAAGTGTGCACAATACGTCGTGAGTGAGTTGCACCTTACTTTGAAGCAGCATTGAATCCAATATTCTCCGTGCAATGCCGATCATGCGCTCCCAGGAGCCTCCCATGTGGGACGCATGAGGCGGGTTGAATTCCCAACTGCAACCTTGATCATTCAGGTATAGTTGCAGAGCTTTGTCCATTCCTAACTCCTTGGAAGCCCCAATGAAATTAGTGCCACGATCCGATATAAGTTTTTTGGCAGGGCCTCTCAGGGCAAAGAAGCGTCTCAGGGCATTTACACAACTGCTGGTGTCTAAGGACTCAATTACCTCCATGTGCACGGCTCTTGAGCTCATGCAGGTAAACAGGATAGCCCAACGCTTACTTTGTGCATGTCCACCTCTGGTACGTCTGGTGGTTACTGTCCAAGGCCCGAAAACATCAAGGCCGACGTAGCTAAAGGAAGGACATGTTTTCAAACGTTCCGGGGGAAGATCTGCCATGAATTGCTCTTCCTGCTTTCCCCGCAGTTTGCGACAGATAACACACTTGTGGATAACTGAATTAACTAGTCTCTTTCCACCGACTATCCACAGACCTCCAGCCCTTATTGCACCTTCTGTTAGGTGACGACCCTGGTGCTTGACCTGTTCATGGAAGTGGCGAGTGAGCAGGATAGAGACATGACTGTCTTTTGGGAGAATTATCGGGTTTTTTTCAGAGTTCTCGAGCTCTGAGTGTTTGAGTCGACCTCCAACAGAAATGATGCCGTTGTCCAGGACTGGGCTGAGCTTTTGCAAAGGGCTTTGTTTGGTGATGGATTTGCCAACGTTGAGGGCAGACAGCTCCTTTGCGAAGGTGGCCTGTTGCACTTGTTGGAGGATGACCCGTTTTGCTTGATCCATTTCATCTGGTGTACGAGGAAACTGACATATGTGCCACCCTTTGCATCCATGGTTTGAATTGGAGCCGTTGAAAGATTTTGCCATGTGAATGAGGAAGGCGACTGCACGGACCAAAGACTTGAAGGTGGAGAAGCGCTCAAAGCGCTTACAGGAGACTACTTGAAGGTGAGTGGCACAAGTTCTCACTTGTGGCCTGATTTCACAGTCTTTGTCAGGCTCAACTAAGTCAAAATTGTCGTTTTCATTCTTTGCCTCTGGGGGTGAGCGACGGATGAAGGAGGGTCCGGTGAACCAAGTTGTTTTTGTTAGTTGAGATGCTGTGAGCGAGCGTGATGCGTGATCCGCTGGGTTTTCCTCGGTGCGCACATAGTGCCACTGCTCCGGCTTTGAAGACTGGCGAATACGCTGCACTCTGTTGTGAACATATGTGTAGAATCTTTTTGATTCGTTGCAGATGTAGCCCAAGACCACCTTGCTGTCTGTGTGAAAGTGAACAGCGTCAAACACTATGTCTAGCTCGTTCTTGACAAGATCAGCTATCTCTACAGCCAAGACAGCGGCGCACAGTTCCAGTCTTGGTATTGTGGGCTCTGACTGAGGAGTTAGTTTTGCTTTACCCATGACAAACCCTACCTCAACTTTGTCATTTGGATACAGAGCTCTCAAGTAGGCTACTGCACCTATTGCTTTGGTCGATGCGTCTGAAAAGACATAGAGTTATTTGCGCTTTGCCTGACTGAGAGAGGTAGATGTGTACGTTCTTGGGACATGGAGTTCCCTTAAGTCCTGCAGCGAATCCCTCCAAGCTTCCCATTTGCTCTGCTTATCTTCTGGAAGTGGTGTGTCCCAATCAGAGTTTTCTGAGGTGAGTTCTCTGAGTAGAGCTCTTCCCTGAATGGTAACTGGTGCTAATAAGCCTAGTGGATCGAAGACACTATTAACAGATGACAAGACACCT